CGCAGTAAAGATACCGCTGCTCTGCAATCGTATTCACTGCAAGAGCTCCAGGCACTCGTTTCATCCTCAGCCACCTCAGCACAAAAACATCCCTGTCAAGCATGTGCCGCTGCGCGCCATGGGAACACAGAAGTGTCACATCAGCCCTCGAGGCCACCGGTGTCTTTCCCACCGCAGCCCTCAGCCCAGGGACTGTCCTCTGGTCTCTGCTGGAGGGAAAACGCTGTGCGGCCCCTCACCAGCTGACAGCTGCAGAAGGAGGGGATGTAGGAAGCTCTGTGCCGCTTCAGCCAGGTCTTTGCAGCGCTCCCACGGCGCTCTGTGCACAGCAGCATCCTACCTGCAGAGCTGCTCTGTCCAGGCACAGGGCACTGGGGAGGTGCCCAGCACCCAGCGCCTGCGGCTTTGTCTCAGGACAGCGGGAAGTGAGATAAGCAAAGCATTTTCCCTAAGCCCCAGACATCTGCCCAGGAGCCAGGAGTGATCAAAGGTTAAGTCTGGCTACTGGGGGCTTTGCATACAGCCGCTGAGCTGCCAGTCTCGCATCCCCACCAGCCAATACACAAGACACTGCATTGGGAACCACTGGGGCTTTTCAGCTCTTACATGGCCAAAGCAGAGCTTTCTAGCTTTTATTTTTCCTTTTCTTAGTTCTGCCATAATCACGTTCAATGCAACAATCTGCAGCTCAGAGCTGCACGCTGCCTTTGTCACGGAGCCACATGAGGACAGCTCTGCTGGCATTGCAAGCACTGCCAGATCCATGCAAAGTCCGTGGCATTTCTTGGAAGCTCCCATTACACGCATATATAAAAAAAAGCCAATAAATAAATAATAATTAGTGCGATTCCATGGCCGGAACTCAGGAAAAGTGCTGAAGAGCAGAACTGCTGAGTGATAAGTGAAGGAGAACACATCGGCCAGACCATTACCTGGGTGGCACAGCAGCGTGGCTGCCTCCAAAGTAGGTCAGCTCACCCCACCTGACCATCTGCGCCATTAACTTCAACCTTTAGTCTTTGGCTCATGACAACCACGATCAGCACCCGCATCCCCTTGCACATGGTGCAAGCAGCAGGGCATCCCCTTGCCTGCGTTCATCCGCTCTTGGGGTGCAGGTGAGGGATGCCACAGCCCATCTCTCCATGCAGGCAGCGTGCAAAATTCCTCCTCTGCTAAATCGCTTCCGTTCCACCAAGCCATCACGAGAAATGAAAGCCTGCAAGGGGTTGCCATGGAGCGGGGCTCAGCCGTGAAGCGGGGGCCGAAGCGGATTCCTCTGACAAATGCAGGCTCCTTGCCCCACCTCAGGGAAAGCCCCGAGCAGCACAGTTTTCACAGGTGCCCATGTCCCTGGCCCTGCACACAGCAGAGAGGGGGTCTTGGGGGAGGAAGGGCATCCCGTGGCCCCAGGACATTTTTCATTCTCAATTGACAGCATTTAAGTGTGGGAGCAAGCAGAGTTTCTAACTACAAAGAGGCTTTTGACATTGGAAAGGTTAATGTGGGAGAGAAATCAGTCTCTTTCACAAAGCACCCTTTGCTAGAGGCACGAGGTTAAGACCTTAATTATTCACCTGTTGGAGAGGTGCCTTTCCATTACAGCATGGGAGCAGGGAGGGATGTGCAGGAAGGTGGAGGGAAGGGTCCTGCTGGGGCCCAAAGCCAGGACTGAGAGCAGTCAGGCTGAACATAGCCCTCCAGAGGGCCAGCCCTCCTCTCCCTGCTCCCGCTGCACTCTCCATCTCCTCCATATCTGAAGCTGCAATGCACACAGCTGTGGGCATCCTGCCTTGTAAGCAAACCAATGCTGACGGCCTCATCCACACACATCTGTGCCACAGCCCAGCAGCACCCAGCAAGGTGAGAGCATCACCAGCACGGGCTGCACGACCTGAGCTGCAAGGGCAGCTTTGCCAGAGCTTGGGGCTGCCTCCACTACCCAGAGCTCAACACACGCACAAAGCGCAACATCGGCCTGCTCAGCAAGGACTATCAGAAATTAGGGACACACATTCATTTCATTACCAGCAATACTGATCCACCTGATGCTCAGCCGAGGCCTTCAGTGCTCTCCCTGCACTCATCAATGGATTAAGCTGTTAGTGGGAGGCTGAGAAGTTAATGAGGGAATATAGCATTGCAGCTCACATGATCTTTTAGCATCCCTCCCAGCAGCAGCCTGTTGTTACCGTTTTTCACTGCTGCACTTCACTGGGGGGTTTTAAATAAATTGAAGCCGTAGAAGCACAGTGCTCCTGCTTTTTGCAGGAATGCTGAGGCCCATGCTCCCTGCAGAGCCACAAGGATGCCACTTTCCAGCACCTGCTGCCACCTTCCATTGCTTGCTGCAGCAGGGTTGCACAAAATGGATCAAATGGGCCCATTCTGAGTTACTGCAGAACAAAATCACTTTTTCGTTGCTGTTAGAAAGGAAAGGGGACAGCAGGAGAAAGGCCTGTATGGAGTGAGAAACCCTGATTTTTTCTCTGTAGCAATGCAGGCTGCAGGTGAATCATCACTGTCCTCAATATGTAAATAGAGGTTCGCAGGCAACCTCAGCACAAGCCCATATAATGAAGGGACGGATGCAAATACCCACGTTAAACCTTCACTGTGCATCTCCCGAGGGTTCCTCTGTCACAGAGCGCTGATCACCAACACTGAGCCACTGCTCACCCAAAACCCACTGTGAAGGAGGGAGTGGGGAGAGGCAGCGGGGGAAGAGTCGGAGTTCCTCAAGATTTCCACAGAGGAAACGGGCAATATTCATGATCTCACGGCCTCCTGACATCGTAGCCACTTAGGATAATCTGATTCCATGCTGAAGCACCGGGGACTGTGCAGAAGCAGCTTTCGGGCTTCAATGAGCAGCCAGCACCCAGTTGTAAGCAGGGCTGTACAGTAGTAGTGGGGAGGGACGTCAGCGGCGAGCGCGGAGCCCGCCTCTGGCTCCAGCTCTGGAGAAAGCATGTGACAGCAGCAGGAGCTGCCACTGCAGTTTCATCAGAGGTGAAGGTACACGAACAGCACACACTTACAACTTAGTCCTTCCTTAAGCAAATGTATGCAAATCATCCCCCCGGGGGGGGGCCTTTATTTTTTTTTTTTTTTTCTTCTCTCTCTTTCTTTCCTTCTGTTTTCACACCAGGCTTTAACCCTTCTACGCACTTAGGGCACAGAGGGAAAATGCAATATCTGTTCCAGCGCGGGCTGCACGTCGCTGCCCGGACCTGCGGCAGTCGGTGCGGATCCGTTTGCCACCCGTAACATTATATGGCTGGCAGACGTCAGATCAGCACTGACCCCATGTGCACGCACGGCGCTCCCTCCAGCATCACGATGCACAGAGAGGAGAGGGAGGGAAAAAGAGGGCACAAGCACAGCAGTCTTATTTCACGAGATGCCATAACAATGGTCTTATTTCATCACAGGCCATTTCACAGTCCCAAATTCTGCAGGGGATGCTCACAACATGGTGGTTTCGCACCAGAGAAGGATGACAATCATCAGGATTTCTTTTTTCCCTGAACAGCCCCTTTTTGGGAAAAAACAAGATTCCTAGATTGAGACGTCAAATGCTGACCAGAAAAGCAAAACGGAGCAGCCCTTCAGATGCGTGCTGCAATTACACGAGCTCTGTGCTCAGAGCTAAAGCCACTGAGAGCACACAGCGCTCTGCTGGGAAGCAGAGCCAGGAACTTTCACCTGCCTTGAGAGCAGCTGTGCTGTTGGGAGCCGCAGCAGCACTTTGGGGGACAACACCCCTCAAACCTGCCTCCTTCCTTCAGCCAAGCATTCCTCCCAACAATGATAAATCAATCCGAATTAGAGAAAGCGAACTGCTTACAAAACCTCCTCGGCCCACCTCTCACCCTCCCTGACCCTTCTGCTGTAAGCAGCCTGTCATCAGCTCTTCGTTAAGAGCCGGAGCTGCCACCCGCTGCTCTGCCCCCAGCAAAGCGCCCGCGTCCCGTGCCAGGCAGGAGCATGCGGGGCAGGCACTGGGACCACATCCATCTAGCTGGTGGCAAGACCTGCCTGGTTCTGTCTGGCACACACACCAGGGGCAAATCTGATTTACCAAGTCCTGAGAGCTTGTTTGTTTGGAACCCAAACAGCAGGATTAGTCCCCGTGTGTCCCGTTCTGCCCCCACGCGCGCACACACACACACACCCGACATATTCCTGCTGTGTGCAATCCCAAAGCTAACTGGTAAGAGAGCATGGGTTGGGATGAATCTGCTCACTTCACAATCGAAGCTATTTTGTAATCTGGGGTTATGAAAGTGAAGGGCTGGAGGGATGATATATAACTATAGAAAACTCTTCCCACTTGCACCGGCCACAGCAATCCGGCTGTGAAATGCACGGAGGTGCTCCAGATCGGCCACGGCTCTCGCTGCCGCCCGGATTATCGTATAGTGCCTCTCTTCCAGCCCCCAAAATGGAAAAGCATGCGAGCCCTATAGCGAGCACAGCTCGCTCTCGTGATTGTGCGGGAGCTGCCAAGGAGCCTTAATCTGATTTTAATACCCGGCTCCGTGCAGGAGGGAGCCGATCCAGATTTTGGAGCAGCCGGTTCGCAGCACGAAGCCCCTTCTCCCAGCCTCCCCATCCCCAGATCCCAGCCCGTATGCGTGCAACTGACGCTCGGCATGACTCATCCCGCAGCCCGGCTCTTATCGCCCCCACCGCGCAGCCCCCCGCCGCCCCCCCGGCGTTCCCCGCCGCCCCTCTCCGGCGGCCGGAGGGGCTGCAGCGCCGGCTTCCCGTTCGCCCCACGCGCACGGGGAGGGGGGGCCGGGAGTCCACGTGCGAGTGGTGCTGAAAGCGGGGCCGGAGCCGCTGCGGCGCGGTGCGGCGCTGCCCCGCAGACCCCCTCCCCTAAAATCGCTCCCGCGCAGCCGGCGGTGCAGCCGCGGGTTCCCCTTGGGGCTCGCGCCGCTCCGCGGGGCTCCGCGTCGGCTCCTCCCGCACCGCACCGCCGCCCTCCCCACCTGGCTGTCAGCGAGGTAGTTGAAGACGAAGGAGGAGAGCGCCTCGTCTAGCAGGGTTCCGCAGTCCGGCCCCGGCTCCGCCATCTTCCACCTCCGGCTGGGGCTGAGGCGGCACCGAGCATGCAGCAGGCGCGGCGGCGAGGAGCCGGGCGGCCGGCGGGGCGGAGCCGGCAGCAGCCCCCGCCCGCCGGCTGCGGGAGCCCGGGGGGGCGGCGAAAGGGGGGGGACGGCACCGCGCCGCCCCGCCGGGGGGACCCGCAGAGCTGCGGCCGCGCGTGGGGCAGCGCTGCGCCGGGAGGTTCTGAGCTGCACCGGGGTGCGTCCCGGGGGGCTGCAGGAGAGCGGGGTGGGCGGGGGGTTCCGGGCGGGAGAGCTGCTCCGGGGGACAGAAAGTGGGAAGAGAGAGGCAGAAGGACTTCGGGCCGCCTTCCTCACAGCAGCGTGCCTACAGCGAGCATCTCGATGTCACGTGTATCGTTTTCTGTCTCAGGTTTTGAGGCATATGCACGCTAAAAGCCCTGTTAGAAATAATTGATGACAGGATGAAAATCTCACGAATGTTCTATTTGCTTAGCCGTTGCAATTACACGGGAAGGAGCAGGGCTCCCTGCTGCAGCCTGAATTAGCTGCTGCCCAATGAGCCGAGTGGCAGCACCTGCAGCTCAAGGGGCTGCGGCCTCCAGTCCCATCAGAGGGCTTGGTGCCGGACACCTGTGTGTCCAGCTGCTGATGTGGCAAGGCCATGAGGTGGGGAGGCATGTGCTGTGTTCTGATGGCTGTGCTGAGGGTCCCTTCCCCCAGCAGCCAAGCCATGCTGCCCATCAGCATTCGCTCCTTGCTCTTGTTCCAAAGGCTCTTTGCAGACCCTTCGGCAGCAGCAGCTGCATTGGGTTTCCCTGTGCCCCGAGCTCTACACCAACAGTGTCACAGGCAGCACGAGGTTGCTGAGAGCTGGAACGTGGGGTTCTGCTGCTGGGATGGAAGAAGTGAGAGAGAAGCTGCCAAAGCTCTTCCCCATGCAGTGCTGCTTTAGTACTGATTACTGTTAAGCAGCACTGCAACCCAAGGCGCTTCTAACGCTGCCTCACCACAGTAAAACTTCCCTCCCCCAAGGGCTCCATGCCCCAGAGTGCTTCCTGCAGCCCACACCACTGCACATGGCAGGAGGGCAGGAAATGGCTCTGGGACACGGGTGGTTTCCTGCAGAGGAGGGCTGTGCTCCCAGGGTCCTGCAGTGCGGCCCCAGTGCCCCTCTGCATGCAGTACAGGGAGAGGTGAGCTGTCGGCAGCGGTGTTTGCCTCGCTGGGGGAGAAGCAGGGCTGCAGGGCCTCACGCTGAATGTGGGCTTTCAAGCCAAATCTGTTGAATGACAAGTGAGGTTCTCCTTCGTGTATCTCGTGATTTCCTTTATATGAGTTGCACTCAAATGGGAAGTAACCATCTATGAAAACCATTTGTAAAAGGCTCGAAACTCCAGCCCCCATAGCCCTGAGTTTCAAAAACTCCCAGCTGAGTATGCGAGCACCCAAGGAGCAGAGCAGAGCCAAACACAGCCCACACCGCCCAGCTGCTCCTCTGCACAGGGCTCCGTTTGGCCGCAAGACTGGGCAGGGCCAGCTGGGGACAGACCCTTGTGCCAGCAGGTGAGTGGAGGACAGCGCAGGTGGGACAATGGGGACACCTTGCAGAGAGGACGTGCTGCTGGCTGTGTCCCTGGGGTCCGACAGGATCCTGGGGGACGAAGCACAGCTGCTGACGTGGTTGCGCGGCGGTGCTTGGATGCTCCCTCTGCTCCTGCCTGCTCTGGGCTTTCGCACAGCCCCGGTGCTTTTCTGTGCTGGTTGGTGCTTTTCCCCTGTACAACGGAGAGCCCCAGGGAGGTGGTGAAGGAGGACAAGATGTCTCACTGCTTTGTTCTGCCTCCTCAGAAGTGATCAGGTGGGGATGGAGCGTGTCCTGCCCGTAGTGGTGTGAATAGGATGCAGTGCTCCCTTCTCTGGCTGCACGCAGAGCATGGTGAAGTTTCACTATCAATTGCTTGTGACTTCTCTCTAAATCAAAACCTGAGTTTTGCAAGCAGGAGGGCTGGCAGAGCTCAGGCCCACTGGTTCTTGTAACTGAAGAGGTGTCAGCTACGGTTTGCAGCTCTCAGCCCTCTGCCAGGGCAGATAGGCCCTCCTCCAACTGCTGTCCTCCAGCCCCAGCCCTGAAGGAGCCAACGTCCCCAAGCAATGACACTTTCTGTCCCGTGATATGGCCAAGCTGGTTTTTGGTCTCTCCACCTCTCATAATCTCAGGCACCAGAAATTTCCTGATTCCTCAAAGAGGGGCAGGCAGCTGAGACCGTTGCAAGAGGAGGAGCCCCGCAGCCTCCCCACAACGGGGCTGAGCGTGCCGACCCCAACCCCGCTCCCACGCCAGCGTCTGCCCCGGGGATAACAGAGCCTAGGTAAAATATAACAAGAAGCTGCACATGCCCTTTGGGAGGGCGAGCCGTGTCATTAGGGCAGCGGTCGGGGGGGACGCGGGCTGAGTGCCCTCGGACTGCCAAAGGCCAACGCGGGACGCGGAGCGGAGCCAATGAGCGGCGCCACGGCCGGAGCCACCCCGCGCCAGCGCCCGCCCTCGTGCTCGGGTTTCAGCCGCTGTGTTTGCGGAGGGGGAGATGTTGTAAGGGCCGAGCGGCGCGGGGTGGAAGCGGCGCTGAGTGGGGTCCTCCTGGTTACAGCACGGGGTTCCCCGGGAGCTCGCCAGCCCCACTCAATGGCGTGTTCTCCTTGTCACCTGCGTGGGTGATGGGCTGATGGTCTGACTGGATGGTCGTTGTGTTTTTTTCAACCTTAATGATTCTATGATACGTTAAATGAGGCACCGTGGGACTGTCCCCAGGGCTCCCAGCTGTGCTGCTCCATGTGGCACTGAGCATCTCTGCTGGGCTCCTCTCCTTGGATCCATTGCTCTTCCACCAAAGCGATGCTGCACTGTGACACAAAGCCCCGTGTGGAATGGACATCACAGTTGCCCCAGAGCTCGGCATGCTGCAGCTCTTAGCCCACAGCAGAGGCAGGGATGGAGCTGCTCCAGCATAGGCTCTGCTGGTCCAGCCTGCTTTTGCAGCTTGCTCATCTCCAAAGCTGCTTCCCTGAACATGCTGAAGTCAGGCTGTTATTGCAGAGGAAACCTGTGGAGAGAGACACGTGGGGTTTGAGGATTAGCTGCTGAAACAGATGGGAATTTCCCAGAGCAAGGAGCTGAGGAGGGCGGGGAGGTCTCCTATGCAATGGGGCTGCTGCCAGTTGTGTGGGCTGTGTGAGGACCCCGGGATGCCCACTGTCTCCCCACAGTGCTGCTGCTGACTCACGTCCCTGCGGGGGAGCAGCACACGGCAGCTGTGCACCCAGTCCCTGCACTGCACACCAGAGCTGAGCATGGGCACGGTGCAGGGTTGGCAGCCTGTCCTGTTTGGGGACAGTGTCTCCATGGGGTCCCAGAAGCCCTTTATCGCAGAGAGGCTGCTCCTTGCACACAGCTTTGTGCCCCGATGCTGCCTGGGCTGGGCACCACGGTGCGCCTCCTACGAGCAGCTCGTGCAGCGCTGGCACTGGGAGGCCGTGTGCCTGCAGGGCCCAACGGGAGCTGTGCCGTATGCTCCGTGTTCCTCCTGCTTACGCTCTCACTCCAGCTCTCGCACTGCGTTCATAGCATGTGTCATATCCCATTGATGTCACCCGCTGTCCCCCGCCTCGTCCCTGTCTGCAGTGCTGCCTGTGCCGGTGGCTGCAATAACGGCACCCTGGGGTTCTGCATCCCTCTGGGTTGGTCCCAGGGTGTGGGCAATGCCAGCTGGGGGCTGAGCCCTGCAGCCAGGCCTGAACACTGCAGGCAGCAGTTCTGCACATAGCAACAGAGAGAATGCAGCACGATCACAGCTTACGCTCCTTCCTGCCGCTTGGAAGTGTCTAGAGAGCTGAAAAAGCTGCAAGATGTTCTTGCTGCCATCCTTCTCCCTGTTAGCTTCTCCATGTGCTGGCTGTGTTTTGAGCACCCTTTCTGGGGGGGCACAGCTCTTTCCCAGACCAATGGATACCGATTTGGCGTGGTGAGGGCTGCAGCCATCCCGCAGCATGCTGCCTGCAGCGCAGGGCTGGCTGACTCATCGCCATGCAGCATGCAGTTACAAAAGCAAGTGCAGGCCCCAACTGCTTTGCACAGGTATCTGTGTCAGCCAGGGCTATTTCCATCTCTCCGTGCATTCTCGGCTCCTTAGGAGGGGAAGGAACACAGCCACGCAGCTCACCTGTCCAACAAAGGGCTGGGCATAATATTCCCATGAGCAGAGAACCAGAAGGGGAATTACATCCAAACACACCGAGTGACACAAGGGGAGGAGGAGGCAGCGGGGTGCATTGCCCACACATCTCACATCCTTACAGGTGTGCACGCAGACCAAGCGGAGGTGTGGAGGTGCACCATGGTGCAGAGCACCATTGCCATGAACTAAGAGGTTCCTGGCCGGGATCCAAGTGAGGGCTGCAGCCCTCCATCTGCAAGCACCATTTGCTACAGGGGTTTAGCAACCGGGGCTGTCACAACTGCAGCAGCTGCAGAATCCTTGGCCATGAGTGGGGGCAGCTCTGCCATTGCATCACTGCTTTGTGCAGTGTAGCACTGGGGAGGGAATGCCCGGCTGCAGTGTGAGGCAGCGTGTGCTGAGCAAAGCAGTGCCCGATTCTGTTCTCATACAAGTGCTTCTTGTGTATGCTTGCTATTTTCTAACTATTTGGTAATGTTCATTTCATTTACTGCATGCATAAATGAGCAAATATGACATATACAAATGTTGGGAAGTAATTTAGTTTGTTAAGCTTCTTCATTAAAAGAATTCTGTATTATTAAAATATCTACATTGTCATGGGCTGGTATCCCATTAGCAGTCGTAATAAGAAATGTTGTTTATTCATTCACAACCAGATCTCCAGGGCATGCATTTGGCAGCATGTATTGAGTCAGTGGTGGCAACTGGTGGCATAAGCCTGGTCACAGGACAGCATTTCCCACCCTGACCAGGCCAAAATCTTCACCTCCAGGTTGTCCCTGGAGACCTGCTCTCTCCTCTAGTCTTGCTGACCCTGTCCTGTGAATGGCATTGTCTCCCCAAGCCCAGCCCTGTGTTGGCTGCACATCAGGGCTGTAGGGGAGCGCAGCTGGCTCCCATGTCCACGTCTCCACATGTGCCTATGTCATATATCACAGGTCCCACGTCCCCATGTCCCCACACCACCGCTGCATTCCCTGCCCTGGTTGCCCACTGCTCCCTCGGCAGGGCCGTGCAGGGACAGGAGTCACTCCAAGGCTCTTTTCAAGCTCCGTTTCTCCCCGGATTTCCCAGACCAGCTTCATTTGCAGGGGAGAGCCCTGTGATCAGCCACATTTGAATGCTGCTTCTCCCAGGCAGAACGCAGCCGCGTCTGGGACAAAACAAAACCGGCATTCATGAGCGGTCATTTAAATTCCCAGCAGCTGTTCCGTGCCCGCGCTCCCACTGCTCACAGACACATGCGTGGGCTGTGCCCTGGGCAGCAGACAAGCAGGTCTGTGGGTGAGCCCACCGGCAGCAGCGGCCCTGGGGATGACTTTGGATTTGGTGTGCTTGGCTCTGGTGGTGCAGCCATACGGACAGGAGCAGAAAGCGGAGAGAAGAGCGCAGGCCTGGCCAAGGGGTGCTGGTGCTGCTCCACACCATTCATCCCGCAGCCTGGAGCCCTCCTGCAGGGTGCCTGGAGTGCTGTCAGAAATACGAGCAGCTGCACCCCTTACAGGATGCAGGGATCCAGCAATTACCTATACAGCATCACCTGGGTTTGGTGGCTGGCACCCAGCTCCCAGCAGCTTAAACACAAAGCTGGGCATGGCACGTGTCTTACTGAGTATAGACAATTTCTCCTCTCCCAGCTGCTTGTTTCCAGGTTCAACATATCCCACTGAGGCTGGAGGGTAGCACTGCAGCTATCCGAAAAACAGATTGGACCCCATTTATTCCATTTATTTTTCTTTCCTTCTCTCATTCGCATGTCCAAACACCCAAAAACAAAGCAGTCAGTGCAAGCTCATGTACCCTGGGATATAAACCAGGGGAACAACTCCTGTTCCACTGCTCCCATTCAGTGCAGCACAGCACCTGCAGGTCCCTTTGTTGGGATGGGGGAGCAGAAGAGACCCTGAGCACTCCCCAGGCTTATTTGGGGATCCCTCTGGGCAGGCACTGAGGTGAGGGCAGAACGTGGCTAGCCCTGAGCTATTCATATCGCATCCCATCTGGAGACAGAAATCTGCCTGCTGGCTTTACAATTAAAATTGAAATGATTTGATTATGGGGCTTCATTAGCAAAAACAAACAGCAGGCAGCTTTCCTCTCCCCGCCCTTCACCCATCCCCTCCTCCCCGGGGTGTGTTTAGGTGAATTCCAGCCGGGATGCTGAGCACACAAAGGGAGTTTTTGTCAGCAGCGTGCACCTATGGTTGGGAGCTGCTTGAAGGTACAGAACCTGGGGGTTTGGGGTGCCTTTACAGTCCTTGCTACCACTGTGACAACCATGAGTGGCCACCCACAAGTGCAGCAGGAGCCCTTGAGATATGGGTTTAGGCCATTTGCCACTGTGGGCAGCTGTCACCAAACCCAGCAGCCTGTGCCCTGCACACACATACCCCCTGCCACGCACGCTGCCTTCACCTCAGGTGCCCTCAGGAAAGCCCCGAGGAGCGCAGCACACCCGCCAGCAGGGTCACCTTGGGGAAGGGACAGCCTGCAGGGCTCTGCCTTGGGCCGCTGCCAGGGGAGGAGGTACAGGCAGGGAGAGAAAGGTGCATTGCTCCAGGAGCGCCATCCTGGGCTGTGTGCTGCAGGGACACAGCAGGGATATGGGGAGCGGTGGGGGGGCAGCCGGCTGTCCGTGAGGGGTAGCGGCACTATGGGCTGCTCCAGCTGACTCATTTCACGTCAGGGGCAGGCTGACAGCACGGTGGCACAGAGCCTCCCCCCACCCGCGGCATTTGGCTGAGCTGCAGCACAAGGAGGTGGCAGGGGCAGCGTGGGCTATAGGGTTACAGCACAGGGTGAGCTGCGGGGCACCACTCCGTCACCCAGAGCCGGGCACGGGGCGCAGGGCTCCACAATGCCAGGCTGTGCCCAGCCTTCCCCTGCTCTCCCCATGCCTCCTCCGCAGCACAGCAGAGCTAAGGACTGTGATGCCCTCTGCTCTGATGCTGTTGTGCCTGGGATAGGGCTGATCCTGCAGCCTTGCAGCCTTCCCGCAGGAAGGAGGGCAGCAGAGTTGTCCCTGTGCCTGGGCAGCACCGGCAGCGTGCATGTCCCATCTAAACTCGCCTTCTGGACTAAATCTTTAACAAGATCAAGGGTTTAACTTTATCAGTGGCTGGAAGAACATGACACCTTTTCCCTGGGGCAAAGTATCTCTGTTGCCTGGCATTTCCTGCAGATCCCTGCACCCATCCCACGCCTGGCTCCCTCGGCATTTCCTGTCACAGAGGGGCACAGACTGCCCTCCTGCAGGAAGGAAAGAGCAGAGATCTGTGTCCTTTCGAGGGGACGTTTCCCCTGCTGGCAGCACAGTCCTCACCAGCCTTGCCAGCCCTCAGCTCAGGAGAGCCATCCTCAGCAGCTAGGCCCAGAGCAGGAGCACAGTGATTGATTATCTCTGTTAAGACTGCAAATGGTTTCTGAGCACGTTCAGGTGGCTCAAAAGCCATCGGTCCACCTTGGCGGTGAGGCAGTCCTGTGTTCCCTGCAGAGCATTGGCTGATGTTGCAGTGTGCAGCATCTCTCAGCATCCCCAGGGCCATCTGAAGAGGGGAACGGGGAAAAATGGGGTGTGCAGCCCCAACCCAGCCTCATGGCTGGGTTTCTGCATCCACAGCAGTGGAGCTCTGCTATGGGGCTGGGAAGAAGGGAAGGGTGTGCATTGTGGCTGTGCTGTGGAGCTGAGCTGGGTGCCGTGTGAGCCAGCAGCTCATCTGGCAGCTCTGTGACAGCAGGGACTTTGGCAGCAGCCAGCGGCTGGCTGGGGGGTGGGGGGAGGCAGTAATGATGGTCCGTGTCAGCAAAGGTAGCAGAGCATGAAAGCAATTTCACACTTTATTAAACAATTCAGGTGCTGGCTGTGCAAGACGGGAGCAAGCAGTGCCGCTCATGCCTGTGCTCCTAACTCCCAGCCCTGTGGCCACCATCTGCGGGGCTCAGCCCCCCAGCAGCGCAGCACTGCAGGTACCTTGGGTCCTGAGATCCTGCTGCACGTGCTGCTCTGCATCCAGCCCTGCGTTCCCTACACACCACAGCCCTGCACACATTGCGTCCCTGGGATGGACCCAGGTTTGGGAACCAGGCCTTGGAGTTTGCATGGATGCCGTTCTTCCCTCGGCGATGCCAGCCGTGCCTCGGTCACTGTGCGCCTCGCACACAAACAAGCCGGCCCAGGGCCAGCAGGTCAGATCTGATCCTTGTTGTCGCACCCTCTGGGTGGACACCATCCAAATGCCAGCATGTCCAGGATATGAATCAGCTCAGGCACAGTGCCAGCGCCGAGTCCCTTGCTGGCCAGCGGAGGCTGTGGGCAGCAGTGCCACCCAGCTCCACCGCCACCAGAGCCCTGCGCGAGCTGGAACCCAGGCTGGTGAGCGGCTGCCCCACACACGGCCCTGCTGCCGTGCTGCTGCTCTGGGCGATGCCTGACCTTGAGGTGGGCACCTGGCCAGGAGCCGCCCCCCGGGCACAGGCATGTTCCACCAGCCCGGCCAGAGCGTTCCTCTCGGGAGAGCGTGTCCTCGCCGCGCTATTTAAAGGCACGCTTGTGCCCTTTATTCTTCCTCGTGGTTGGGCTGGAAGGGACCCGTGCCCTGCGCTGACCCCGAGGGAGCAGCCGAAGCCTCTGTGCAGCAGCGCAGTTGGGGTGATAGAATGGGAGAAGTGAGAGATGTCGGTGTCCCGCGTCCTCACACCGCGTAACAGCGCACGTCCCGGGGAGAGCATCTGCAGGGAACGTCCGCGGGCACCGAGGATCCACGCGATGCGATTGGCAACGGAAGATCCCGGAGGAGCCGCGGGCGGGAGGCGCGGCGCTGCGGTGCTGAGCTGAGCTGAGCTGTGCCGGGACGGCGCCGCCACCTCGCGGCCACGCAGCCACACCGTGGGCACGGGGCCGGGCACGGCTGCTGCCGCACCGGAGTCTCGTACCGTCACAGCCAAGAGCTGCGGTCGCGCACAGAGCGCTTCTCGCGCCGCGAGCGTCAGCGGCCCTCGGCAGCACCGCACCGCAGTGCAGGTAGCAGGAGTAGGGCTTGGTGGCCGAGAGGTGACAGAGCGCCGGCGTCGGGGGCAACCAATGCCCAGATGGCGATGGGCCGTGTGGGTGGGCACAAGGGAGCGTCATCCCGCCCGTTTTGTGGAGAGCACGTCTCCAAGAGACACGTGCCAGGCTGGAGCCCCGTTTGCAGCACTGCGGTCTTTGCAGCTCAGACGTGATTTACTCAGGGATGGTTCTCTCATCACCACTACAGGCATTTTTCTCACCAAAATGAATCCCTGCCGAGCTGCAGCCACATGTCACTCCATCCCAAGTCTTCTCTCCGTGCTGCCCAGCCAGAAGCAAACACACATGGACGTGGCACCCTCGCACTTTCCTGCCCTTGTGCACAGCGGCACAAAGCACATCTCCCCACTTGCAACCGCCCCTGGGCCACATTCTGCTGCTTCCCCAGGCAAGGGCTGTGCAGCCACTCCCTCAGCAACGAGCTCATCGGGTGCCAATCAGACAGCTCTCCTCCGTGAGCGGCACGAAGCCATCGGGTGCTGCGCTGGTGCTGCTCACACGGGCAGATTCCAGCCCACGGGCTCCTGCACAGGGACTGTCCGCAGGTAGCTGGAGGGCACGTAGCCCCGCTGCCCGTTCACCTCCACCAGGCTCCACTCGGTGCTGCCCTTCTTGTCGTGTGGCTCCAGCACCACCACGGGCTGCCCAGCCTGCAGGCTGAGCTCCTGCGGGCTGCGCGCTGTGAAGGAGAAGCCAGCGACCACCTGTGAGAGCAGGAGGAGAGGAGGAAGCACTTAGCAAGAGTCAGAGCTAGGAAGCAAAGGGACATGCATGGCAGGGTAGGACCTAGAGGGGACACCAAGGACATCGATGTAGGGACAATGGAGACCTCCAGTGCGCAATTCCCTTGCTCTGTCCACCCCAGGTCCCAGAAAGGCAAACCTCAGCCTTACCCAGGCGGCTGTGACACTCCTGCAAGGCACACAGCTGCACACAAATGGTTGTATGTGTGCTGGAAAAACAGGTCTGTGTCTTTGCCCACGAATAGAGAGCTATCAGGGTCGCTGGGAACAGCCCTGGGTTGTCCTCTCCTCTCACCTGGAAAGCCGGGGTGAATGTGGCCACCTGGGGTTTAGGAGCTTCAGGTGACACATAAGAATGTCGCCTTCTCTCTGTACCACTCTCCAGGGCTGACATCTGCATCCTGGGCTGCTGGCTTGGTCCCAGGCAATAGGGCTGGAGTTTGGCAGCAGGCACAAACCCTCGGGGTCCTGGAGAACATGCACACACAGGTCATGGGGTTCCACCACCTGGCACACATAGGATGGGTTGGAGGAGAAGGGAGGGGAACTTGGCTGTGGCTGGCACAGCACAGGAGCTCCACTCAAACGTGTCCATCACTAGGGTACATCCAGAGCAAAAGCCCAAATAATGGGTTTCAAGACACTTCTGTGTGGGCTGGACTCTCCTTTCCCAGTCTTGACACTTCACAAGTGCTCTTTTGGGGAACAAATGAGGAAACCCAAGATCTACAGCCAATGGCTACAGGTGTAGCTGGCAGAGCACAGATGGGTTTGGGCTAAGCCAGTCCTGGAAAGGAGGGTCCAGGAGACAATGGCTCACTGTTTCATCCAAGCTGAGGAAGTGGTTTGGGTTTGTTTTCTGACCCTGGTGCCTCCCTGCAATGTTAACAGTACCTCCAGCATCCACAAGCCATCTGCCCTTGTTGCCTTTAGTATCCACACTTTGCAGCAGAGCCACAATCTGCCCCCTTTGCAAGGTCAGGTCCATGTCTTTGCTGCCACTGATGTTGCTTGTCACTTGGTAAAGCTTGTCTGGGCCGTGTTTGCTCACAAGGGAAAGGACCTTCCGCTCCTCAGCAGGGTTCAGGGGCTGGAGGGGAACAAGAAACACAGGAGCACTCAGTGAGACACAGGAGACTGAGGCCCTTTGTGAGCATGTTCTATCATCATGTGGTCACGTTCCAATGGGTGCTTAGAGAAAACTCTCCACACTATCTGCTCTTCCTCACAGTTTGGAGAAGACCAGAGCTCAGAACCAGAAAAGCTGAGGCTGTTCCAGCTCTGGTTATTCCCAGACAGCCTCTTCTGGAGTAGCGCTGTGGCTGTGGGGATCCCCTGTGCCACTGTGTGAGCCAACCTGCCCCCAGCATCCTGCACCACGAGGTCTCAGACACAGCGCCTCCTCATTGTCAGCCCTTCCTTTGGCACAGGCTGCCCAGGGAGGTGGTGCAGTCACCATCTCTGGAGGTGTCTAAGAACTGTGGAGATGTGGCACTAAGTGAGCACGGTGGAGATGGGTTTGTGGTTGGACCCGATGATCTTAGTGGTCTTTTCCAACCTTAATCAGTTTATGATTTCCAGCACCTACCTGTGGCACAGGGCTTGGTGTGACAGTCTCAAATGCCTGGATGAAGGTAGAGAGCTGAACTCCTGACTGCTGCAGGGTGTCCTCCACCAGCCTCCAGAAAGCGGGCAGCAGCATGTGGCCATGGGGCATCTGTGAAGGACGCTGAGGTCAGTGTGGGATGCAACCAGCTCACCAGAGCTGCCATAGGTCCTGGCCCGCGCCCGCAGCCCCACGGGCCTGCTAGAGGGGGAGATGGATGAACCCAGCTAAAACAGGCAAGCCTGGATGAGCACAAGGATACCCGCTTTCCTCCTCTCACCTGCTCTAGTTCCTTTTTAGCCTCATGCAGAACCTCTGCAGCCAAGTCCTGCTGCAGGACGCAGAAGGAGCCCAGGAGCTGTTCCAGGAGCTGCATGGCCACCTGGTTGAAGCGCGGGAGCTCAGCCACAAGCAGGGCATTGATGGCCAGATAGGTGTTCATGGCTGCTTCCTCATCATATGTCACGTTGCCCGTTTCGCTCCTCCTCTCCTGAATCTCCTCGTAGTCCAGCAGCTTGTCCAGGCGCTTCTTGACCAGCTGCTGCGGCCCCACCAGCATCTCTGCCAGGCTGCAGAGGGGCTGCCAGACAAGCCTGTCCAGCCGGCGCCTCTGTGGGATGACAAAACCCAAATCTCCATGGGAACCCCACTGGACAGGCCCCGCTGTCTGCATGCAACACTGTCTTATGCATTAGAAAAGGCTTGGGAGCCTGCTGGAGGACTTGTGTGTGCTTACCCCATGTCTCACCCTGTGCAGCATGGGCAAGGGAAGGGCTGGTGCTCCCTACAGGGGAACTGTATCCAGTATGGGGATCTGTCTGCCCTGCCACAGCCTGCACTGTTTGGAAGCCCATCTTGGCCATGTTTACAATGAGTGGGGCTGAGGGCAGACACCATCTATGGAATGCTGATGGGCTCCCAAAGCTGAATATTGATAAGAATGCTCCCTGCACCGGGCCATTCTGAACCCCACTGTCTGTTTCCCCTGCCCTGGCAGCCCTGGCAGGAGGTGTGAGAGATGCTTGGCTCTGATCCCAAAGGAGCTCTGCAAAGAAGGAGCACTCACAAACTCTGGGAACACAGCGCAGTGGAGGTGCTCTGCGAGGCGGCGGTACTGCTGGGCAGGGCCCTCCTCCATCTGCAGCTCACACTTGTGTGGGGTGGGCAGCAGGAATGCCTGGAAGGGAGAAAGCAATCAGGGCAGGCCTCTGGGAGCTGCCCAGCACCGTGCAGCATCCTGTAACTATTCCAGCAGCATGGGAGCTTCTCTCCATACATGTTGTGCACACAAATATAAGGGGGAGAAAGAACAGCCATTCCCTGCCACATCTCACTAGCACACAGACTGCCATCCTCGTGTGTTCTTCTCTTTTTATGCACTGTTTGGGCTACAAGGAGTCATCCTGTCCCCTTTTCCTTCATGTCATCCCAGTGTGGGGAACCGTTCTCAGTATTTTCAGGACAAGGTCCTTCCATCCTGACATAGGTGCTCTCTGACCCCTCTGCCATTTCCTGAGATCTTCCTGACAGTCTTTTTGCCATTACTCATGCTTTCATTTCCTTCAGACAGCCTGAAGGATCTCTGTAAGAAAATTACAGCAATTACTGACCCAGGTCACTCAGAAGGGAAGTCTGCTGCCATGCCTCATCTGGGGACACTTGTGCCTTATACCTGGTAAAGCAAGAATTTCCAGGCTGAACAACGAGCACTTCCAGCTGTTTGATACTTTGAAATAATGATCAGTGTAAGGATTGACTTTTCTCAACTGACACCCAGCTCTGCCAATGAAGCCTTAGCTTCATTTCAGCCTCCTGTGGATGGAAGCAATCTTCTGAGGCTGTGAGTTCCCCAGCACAACAACACGTTTCAGCCGAGAAACACAAATCCCTGAGCACCTCCAGCTGTTGTCTGCAGAGGGCTTGGGGGTGTTCTGCAGCTCCCAGACAGGGTCCTGAGGCCTGGATGGGGAAAGTTGCCTGCACACAGTCAGGGCTTTACCTCTAATTGCTTCAGGTAGGATGCCACGTTCTCCTTCAGTGCAACCACACTGGATGCCACGCTCTGGAATTTCTCTTCCAGGTCATCATACTCCTTGTCCTCTGTCTGCAAGGCAAGGGGCGGCTTGTCTCTGTGCAGGCAGAACGGGAGGGGTGGGGGCAGAGGGGATGCCAACACAAGGTGCAGCCTGAAGCTGGAGCTGGGGAGACCCTGAGGGGCTCCAGGAGTTTGACAAGGGCCACGATACGGGGTGTTTGGGCACTACATGGGACGTGGTGCTGGGGAAAATGTCCTAACTGCAAGCAGTGCTCTGTGTCACTGGGTGTGCATCCTTTCGCTGGGATGCTCTACGGGTCTGAAGGGCTTTCGGAGGTCAAAATGTTCCCCTTTGATACTTATGAGGCAAGGAGGGAGGTCTGTGCCTGCGCAGCGGCTAGAATCGGAGACCAACAGCCACACTGGGTCACCCGGCAGGCGGACGGGGGCTTACATGACAGCACAGGCCGCTGGGTGTCAGCACCGAGCTCGGCTCTCCCTGCCTCGGAGCAGGAGGAAAGCCGCAGAAGCGGCAGAGGAGGGAGGTAGGCGCACCTTGGCCACGATGCCGGCCTCGTGCATGAGGAGCCGGCTCAGCCGCGTGGTCTTCTTGGCGATGGAATGGGTGTTGAGCCGAGCCAAGCGGTCCCGCAGCGTCAGCTGCTCAGCCTTGTTGTACTTGGTGGCTGCCTCGGGGAGACACGAGAGGGGAAGGAGAGCTGTTGGTGAGCGGCCCGGCGGCCCCGAGGTGAGGGGCTGCTCACACAGCTGCTCATCTGTACAGCGAGACCCCGAGGGTGCTTTGACCTTCATTCATAGGACAACAGTGCTCTGGGACCAGAAATCCTGCCTGCAGCCACCAGCAAACCAGTGCAGATCTGGCTCCTGCAGCACTGCGTCCTGGCTGTTCTCTGCAGGTAGCATGCTCTTATCACAGCCCTGCAGCCCAGCAGCCTCCCTGCACGGTGCTGGGGCAGCTGTTGGGATGCTGGTGTGACCAAGAGAACAATGTGGCTGCAGAAGCTTTATAGCAGCAGCCTGAATGGGTGAAATGGAAAAAGCAAGGTGAGAACAGCAGCAAGGCTGGGGCTGATCAACAGAATAAGCACAACCCACATCAAAGAAGGGCAGCCCCAGGGAAACTACCATGAAAACCAAAAAGCAGAGTGAGCTTGCATTTGTGGGGAGCTTGATTTCTCCTATCCCAAGGGCAGGATTGTTCCTTCAACTCCCCAGCCCAGGGAATGCAGATGGACCAGTTCTGTGCTCACTCCTATGCCACCCTGCTCCTGCAGCTTACCCAGAGTGCAGCACCCACCCTGAGCCAGGTTCCACAGTGCCAGGAGCTGCTGGGACGCAGCCCAGCCTGCAGCCCCACCTGGCAGGATGGCTGAAGGACAGGAGAAAGGGAGAGCTTTGAACTGACTTGAATAGGAATCAGTGCAGCACCAATGGGACGCAACCAGGGTTGAACTGAGCCTCCCCAGCCACCCGCTGCCTGTGCCATGCCCTCTGCCTGAAACGTGCCCCTGCTCACCCACTTCCCGGCGCCGCTTGTACTCGTTGATGTTGGCATTGACCTGGGTCATGGCACGCACGGCTGCAGCGAGGGCTGCGTGAGAGCTGGTGCTGGCAGGGGTGTTCTCCAGGATCTTGCCCAGCAGCAGTGGGTATTTGGTGACTCTCTGCACCGGCATCACCAGGAAGAAGCTGAGGTCCGAAGCGCTTGTGTGAGGCCTGAAGGAGGGGGAATTGCGTGAGGATGGCATGGAGGACAGCACCGATGCTTCTCTGGGCTTCTCTGCAAGCATTCTGGGGATAACCTGGCCCTTCTCCAGCACCAAGAAAGCTTTGCTGCCTGGGATCCAGAGGTGAGCTGTGGATTTCTGTCCAAGTACCCCAGCTGTGCATCCTCAGGCAGTGCTCACCAGCGTGCTGTCCCCGCCAGCCCCAAAGAGAGTTCCAGGCCTCAGCAGGCATCTGGTGCTCCTGAACAGAACTGTGCTTGACTGGCTGAGAGGTGCACGACTGACACCCCAGGCTGTGTGCACAGACCCTCTCTCTACAGCACATCTATACTGCAAGCAGGAGGAAATGCAAGTGGCTTGTAGTGTTTGTGACCACAATGATGGGGCAGGAAGGGTCCTCCATGTCCACTGGGGCTAGCCTATCTCTCTGCTGATACTGGAAAATACATATTCTCTGTGGCACAGCTCCTTTGGATGGCAGTGATAGGGGGAGAGGAACAGGCAGGAGCCATGGGTGCCACCCCACCACAGGTTTGGAGTCCACCATAATAGATTCCCAAACTGTAGTGCTTTGACAGGTCCCAGAGGATGCAGGAGAGGCTGTGAAGATGTGGCACTCAACTAGGTACCCCAGAGCAGGTACCTATCCACGAAGGGAGCTTGTTTAGAGAGGAGAAGGGCAAGGCCACTAGGGAGGGGGTGGCATGGGTACCTACACTGTCGTGGTCAGGGTCTCCATGATCTCCTCCTGCAGCCTGGGGTCCTTACGGTAGCTCTCCACCAGAAGGAGGGCATGCTCATAGCTAGCACAGTAGATCTTGTAGACCATCTCCATCTCCTCCTTGAACTCCTGGAACAGAGTGCCTGGAGGAGGAGGGTCAGGCTGGATGGGACAGTTCTCTTCTATGGGAAGGGGTCTCCTCCCCACATACCATATGAGTTTGTTTTCCACTTACTGATGCTGAGCAGCTGCTCATGCTCCTGGGTAGCAGTGTCCTGAAGTCCCCTCAGGAACCGTCTGGAGACATGGAGGATGTCATCAATGTTAGAGAAGAGTCCTTCCAGGTCAAGACCAGGCAGCTGGAAGGAACACAATTGCCCCAGAAAAAAGCCAAGTAGATGAGATGGAAGATCTGGCATTGTGGAATCATCTGCACTCTCTCAACACCAGTATCCTTCCAGCAGCCTCATGTGACATCCGAGGAGCTGGAAACGCTCCATTTCAAGAGGCATTTGGAGATAAGACCTGGCTTTGTTCCCAAGCAGGGCAAGGCCTTTCTAACATTACAGATGCAGAGTTAAAGCCTTTCGATGGCTGTATGGCTAAGACATAATGTCTGTTCAACCCACGACCCTGCCTGATGGGGGCAGCTGGGGGGCTGAAAGGATCAGGGCGCAGGTACTGGCCTCCCTCCCAGCTGTCCTCAGCATCAGCCCTGCTGGGATCTGGGAGCCCCTCTGCTCCCGGCACATTCACCCCACAGCGCCCTCACCTGCTTCTTCTGGAGGTGCGCCCGGATGTCGGACAGGCACAGCTGGAGGTTGTGCACATAGCTGGCTTCAGTGGTGATGAGCTCCTCCACAGCCAGCCGCTGGCTGTGCTCCATCCTCTCACAGAGCATCACCTCCTCATAGATGTGTGCATCATGGTCGGCTGTGTTCTCAGCAAGTGGCTCTTCTGTGTGGGTGCTTGCCATGACAAGATGCTCTGCAAGAGTGAGTTTGGGTCAGGGGCTGAACTGCAGCCACAGGGACTGGTGCTGCGGTGTCCGGCTCGGTGCTCACACTTGGTCCACCTATGCCAGGGGACAGAGAGCACTTCCATAGGCACATCTGTGGGATGCACACTTGCTCCAGGGGACAACAAGCCATTCACATCTACAAGCAAGGCTTTCCTACCACTGATAAGGTCTGGATGGATAGGGCAATACTCCAAAAACATAAAACCATAAAATGCTGAGAGCGAAAAGTAGACTGGCTGTCAAGGGCAGGCACCCACGTGAGACAGATGGGGACATGCTGAGCAGTCGTGCCCAAATCCCAGCAGCCAGAGCAGCACCCCGGCACCAGCTGTGCGCCCCTCCCCAAGAGGAGCACAGGGCTCCACCACCTCCACGCCTGCTCCAGCACTGCTCGGGCTGGCTGTCACTGCTCAGCAGTGCCTGGCATGCTGCCTTGCATTCAAGTGTCTTTTTCAAAGTACAAAGAGTATTTATGTGACGCCTGAACAACAGGCATTTCTATGGGAGGGAGAGCTGATTTACAAATTGGGGGGAGGAGTGGGCAAAGGCGTGAGCGCCTGGTGCCAGAGGCGCTGGGAGCCCCTGGTGCTCAGAGTGCTTTTTGCAGAAGTGCTGCTCTGGCTCTCTCTCTCCTTGTAGAGAGCACAAAATCTGGGAGCTGATTCACGGCACTTCCTTCTCAGGGAACATCCCCTGTTATGCTGGTGCTGAGGAGAAAGGCGCAGCTCTCCAGGTGGCACAGACAGACGCTGGGGCAGCGTGAGGCAGGAGGCCTTGAGATACAGCCAGCCTAGGGCAGCCTGGCCTCCTGCACAGCTGCACAGCCGTGGTGTATGTGGTGGGAACAGAGAGCTGAGCCAGAGCCTCAGCTGGAGGCTGCTCCAGCAAATGCTGGGTGCTGCAGCAGTGAGTGCCCCTGCCTGGCAAATGCCCGCAGCTGCTCTGGAGGAGAGCTAGGCTTGGCAAGAACACAAATACATGCGCTAAGACAGCAGGCACAGCGCCTCTGCTTGCTTTATAGGAGAACTCTACCCTGCTAGCTGTCATCCCAACCCCCTACGTATCTGTGGCTGCCACAGGACACTGTTCTGCGCTCTACTGGGTGCCTCGGAGGTCCCCAGACAGTGGGACGCACCCCAGAGACGAGCAGATGATTGGGGCCGGGGCTGGAAGTGCTTCAAGCTCTGCACGGCAGAGGGGCACACAAATGCAGGGACCGAGGGGAAGGCAGGGCTCAGGGTGCTGCCGTGCTCTCTGGACCCACCGCGCTGTGCAGCTCTGCCCCACTCCTCACTGGCTGCAGCTCGAGGAACCAAGCACTGAGTGCCACCGGTCCCCGTGCCGATATGGGGACCCCTGCTCTCCCATGCTCCAGGAACGGCTCCCAGGCTAGGAAACCTCTTTGCGCCCCCATCTGAAACGGCGGAGAAATAACAAAATTGAAAAGGAGCCGTTCTGACAGCAGGTTTGATTCCCCGGCTCTCCCCTCGGCCTGCCTGCAGATCGGCGCTACGCTGCAGCCTCCGCGCATCCCCGCAGGAGAGCTGCACCCGGGGGAGGGCAGGGGCTGCCGGGCCCCAGCTCCCACCCCGCAGCGCCCCGGTGCCCGAGACCCCCCTGCCCGGGCCCGACCCCGCTCTTACCTGCAGGGCCGGCGCCGGGAGCCGCGGCCGCGCAGCCGCAGCGGGGGGAGTTCAATGACAGCGCGCTGCGGGAGGGACTGGGCGGCCCCCGGCGAGAGGGGACAGGGTCCGGCCGGGGCCCGCCCGCAACGCCCGGGGGAGCGGCGAGGAGGAGCGCGGCGGCGGCGGCTCCGCACCGCCCGCAGATGCCCCCCCCGGGTCTGATAAGAGAGGAGCGGCGGCGGGGGTGGGGAGACCGCGCCTGCAGCCGGTGCCCGAACGCCAAGCCGGGTCAGCCCCGCAGCGGCGGCCGAGCTCCGACTGCGGGTTCCCGGCTGCGGCTGGCTCGATGCGGTGCGGAGCTCCCCGCTGCTGTACGACCCGGCGCTCCGCGGCTGTTTGTTTATGGCTTCGCTCCCGGCTGTGCGGGGCTGGAGTTGCCCGGCGCGGCCCGGTGCGGTGCCTGGGCACCCGCTCTGCTGGCGCTGCCCTGCTGCTCAGCCACAGAAAGGGGTTCGGAGAAAGCAGAAATGAAAAGTGCCGACGAAGCGGTGCCACCGGGACTCACGGACGTTTTAGGCTGCAGGTTTTTTTCGCTTGTGAAGTATTTGCATCCTTGTAAACAAGCTATTGAGACGGCAGCAGCTGGTGCACAGCCAACTCCCGCCGCCCCCGAGCGCGTCCCATCCAACCACAGGGAGGTGACAGCCGCACCTGGATTTTTCCAGGCTGACACAGAGCATCCAGAAGTGGCGCAGTGAAAGGACACACGTAGGGGCTTACAGAGGGGCACAGTGGGCAGACACATGGCCACGTGGGGATGGGGCTGTGAGTGCAAGCAACCCACACGGGCTGGCAGCAAAGGCCTTACCTGGCTCTGGCTGCAGGGATGCAGATTTTCTTTCTCCCCCGCAGCAGCGACTCAAGCCTCAGCCAGGTCCATTCTGGAGCAGCAGAACGCCTGGCCAGGTGCCCCTGGGGACAGCATCTCAGCAGTGTCAGGAGCTTCCCGGCTCCATCCTTGGGCAGGCACACTTACCACCACATCCAACGAAGCCATGGAGGTATGTCACTGACTTTGGCTCCCATCAGCACCCGGTGCTGCGTCACACCGTGGCTGGCAGTGCTCTCCTCCCAGCACGTCCCTTGCCCCAGCAGCCAGGGCAGTGGGGCAGCATTCCCGGCTGTCTACTCCTCCCCAGATGGGTCATGCTGTGGGTGTTCCCCCAGGCATGTTTTCAATTCCAACCAGTATTTTCGGATGCTTGATAGCACAGCTAGGGTGATTTCCTTGCAAGACCAATGTGCTGCCAAGTGATTTTCCCCAGTGTGAGCAGTTTCCTTCCTGCTGTGTCGCTAGCCCTGTTCTCTTCCTATCCCACCCCAAGCTGGGGCTGCACAGCTCCATGCAGACATGCTGTCACCACTCCAGAGCTCACCAGGAGTCAGGAAGGCATGGGAGCGGGCTGGCTGCCACTGCCAGGCTCTGGCAGTGAAAAGCAAATAGGTGCATGCTGGTCTAGAACAATTGTTTGTGTTTCCAGGTTTCAATAAGCCAATCTAAAGGGCCCTGCTCTCTTCTCCACCCCGTTGGCACTGACTGCTGTAGCCTTGTGGCCTTAGATCCTGCAGGCATGTGATCCAGCAGCGTGGCATGGGGAGGCACAGAAGGGCGCAGCGCTGCGGAGGCGGCAGGGCAGGACTGCCTCCTCCTGCTGGGCTCCCTGGTTTCTGCAACCTCGGTGCATGCCTGTTTTTGCTCACAGCTTCTCCAGGGTCACCCCCACACACCACTGGCTCTGCTTGTACCCACAGCTGCGGCAGAAGCACCCAGAGGGGAGGGCAGCCTCCCAACATCTCAGCCCAAACTGAACAACTCCTGGAGAGCTGTTTGCAGCTGATGGGCCAGAGCAGAGGGATTTTCCCAATTGCACAAAAGGTTAAGGCTCAGGTAGCTGGAAGTTGGAAGCTGGAGCCGTCAGGGGGCTCAGTGGGAACGCAGCAGATGTGCTGTGCGTTAGTCAGGGCTTGCTCAGAAAGCAGGCCCACAGTGCAGCAGCCTTGGGTATGCCCAGATGCAGCAGGCAGGGGTTCTTCTCAGAGCAGCACTTTTGCACAGCAAAACAGTCTTTCTTTTATTTAATATTCTCCATTGTTACTGTTGTTTGGATTTCTTCCCTGTCTTAAAAGGGCTTCATGACCACACTGCTATCAGCCATTCATGTTGGAAGTGAAAACACACAGAAAAAAAAAAACCCAACTGCTGAAGAATACGGTGGCAGGTGCGTCCTAATCACAGAGCTTCCTCCCACACTGCACATCTGGGAAGTGGACTTTGCCTCAAGCATGGTTACTCATGCATGCAGTGAAGCATGGGATCCAAGCTGAGGTGCTAAGGCAAGGAGGCAAGTGCTATAAAGTTAAATATTTTCACAGGACTTCATATCTGGGCTGGTCATTAGCATCAGCATCACATGAAAAACCACGTACATATCATTCCATTTCTTACTTCTCTTTCCAGTCCATATAACCTGTGCCTAAGTCCATGACGGAAGGGAAGCACACCGCTCACACTAATTACCCCCACGCCATATGAGGGCCTTCCAACAGGCAGCAGTTGCTGCAGGAAGGAGCTGCAGACTGCAGGCTGTGCTGGAGGGCACCGCCTCCACCACGAGGCAGAGCGGAGGCTAAAAATAAGGAGACAGAATTTGATCCATGCAGAATAAATTAAGAGCCAGCTCTTTATTTCTAAAGGGGTTATTTATGGGCCAAAGGTTTGCTTGTCTTTGGCTTAGCTGTGCCATGTATTCCTTCTCTGCTCTGTATGGAGATCTCTTTGGCAAAGGCAGAACATTGCTGTCACTGCTCTACCTGTGCCATCACCTCCATGCTGTCATCCCCACAGCACGCACCCTGATGTCCAGCAAAAGAAGCATGAGATGGAGTGACAGCTCAGACTGTTGCCCCTCACACTTCCTCCCAGGCTGTGGGCTTCACTCTTCATTCCCGTGGACTTTTCTTTCCCCACTGCGGTGAATCCAATGGAAAGAACAACCCTCCTAAGAAGAACATAGAGTCGTTGAGATTGGAAAAGACAACTAAGATTATCGAGCCCAACCATCGAGACAAATCTACTTTGTGTACGGAGCGTCAGCTCCTCTCACCCTCTCCAGGTCTACAGCATCTCACATCTCCTGTCCCACATTTACAGCCTGAGGCTTCACGTCTACCAGCCTCTGTGACCCTTCCCTCTCCCCTTCCCCGTCCTTGCTGATTTGCATTGCTTTCCCTACCCTAAAACCTCCAAGGCTGTTGACTTGGAGCCTTTTCTGCTTGTGGCTGCTTTTCATGCTGGTGTTTGTGCTGGTGAAGGAGAGCAGTTTACTGGCAGCCAGGTAGCAAATAGCTTATTTTCTAAGGGCCATGGTTTGCAAGATCTCTCATCCCTGCCCATCAAGGTTGCACACACTGAGCTGCTTCTGGGTTCTGGTGCTCTGCAGCCATGGAGGATGTATCTGCCTGCTTGTGCAGTTCCTGCAGCTGCCAGGTCACCAGGGAGCTGCCTCCTCCAGATGCCCTCAAGAAGCAGCCAGGCATCCTGCTGTCCACACCTCACCAGGGTGAAGTGGCTCTGCTGTGCAAGGTGAGGGCGTGAGGAACTGGGCAGAGGCACGTCCCCTCAGGATGCACCTTCCTCGGGATTGGCCGCCTCTGGAGTCCCATCACTATCTCTGCTCTGGGCAGGTTCCTGCAGCAGTGGCTGCTCTGCAGGCATGGCGATAGCTGCTCTCTGTGCACACATTGCAGGAGATAGCTACCCTTGCTCATTGGAGGAACAAAAGGGTGGGAGGAAGGCAAGATCAGCCTTTGAAGCTGCCAATCCAGTTTGTGAGCAAGCTCTCCATTCCTTTTTCCACTGATGCAACTGGGAGTGTCTGATTTGATGGGGCTTTAGTCTCTGCCACAAGTGAGCACAACAGCAACCCTCCTGAAAGGGAGCACTGCGTGTTTGTTTCACTACTGGGGGCAGAGACTCTTCCCATGAAACTTAACTGGTGTTCTGAGGCTCACAGCATGGCGAGGATGTCCCAGGCCCCGTGGTGGAGGGCAGGGTAGGCACCGTGCGATGGGCTGCGGAAGCCCATTGGGGAAGCCCACAGGGGAACAGTCTGATGCCTGGGCTTCTCCTTCCTCTGGCCTTCCTCTTTCTCAAGGAGAGCTTGGCATTTCCACATGGACATTTCCAGCAACATGGAGTTTCCTGCCAACGCGACAGCACCCAGCTCAAGAATGCTCCATGAGCAGAAATTACTTCATCCCATCCAGCCACAAGGCAATGGCAGTGTCGGAAGGGACATCTCCATTATTAATCCTGTTAGATGATACCAGTTCCAGCTTTTCCACCCCTCGAGTCACCAGCCTGTGTGCCAGCTGCAGGCCTCCTTCCCAGGCTGTGATGATGGAGAGCCATCAGCCTCAAGGCCTCTGAGCTCTCTGCCAAGTTCTGAGTGCTGTTTTTGGCCAAGGCAAGTCCTGGGGGCATCCAGGATTCTCCAGCATCCCCAGGCTCCTGCCCAGGCTAGAATGGGTTGTGCAAGCCACCCCATAGCTGGTAGGAAACCAGCATGCCCAGTTTTGGAAGGGGGCTTGTAGCAGGGCAAGTGTCTTTCTCTCATCACACACCACAGCAGGTAATGTGCTGATTCCTCATGGAGCACACCAGAGATTTGGCCCCCAGGTATCTTTGCACAGAGAGAACTGATGGGAGGCACAAAAAAGCTCAGCCCCACCAGCCAGCAGCAGCTTCACGTTCAGCAGCACCAAGCAGGCCACTCGCAGTGTGCCCTTGCTCCCCCTAGGAGCCTCGATGCAAAACGACAACTATGTTTTCTTTGTGCTCGTTATCAGGCTCTCAGGAGGCAGATTTTCCTGGCTCCTGGCCTCACAGGGCTCCCTGTGCTTGGCCTGTGCTCTGGGCTGCAGCCAATGCCCTCTCTGGGGCTGCCAGCAGGGTCTCCTTCCTCTGTAGGAGAAACCACTGTGTGCCCAGAGCCTGCATCACTGCAGGCAACATTGGCCCAAACATGCCTGATTTGAGATTTTCACCCCAAAATGAATGTTCCAAGAAAGAGGAGAAATAGCAAAATGACTGCCAGCAGCTTAGGAGGATGTGTGCACGTCTGGCTTTCCTGTTGCCTCTATGTCACAAAGATGGAGCAGGGAAAGGAAGTGTGAGTGCCCAAAGCCCTGCAGCAGCCTCGGGGTGAGGAACAATTCCATGGCTGGGAGCAGGGATGGGTGGGAGGCTGTGAGACAGAGCCATGTGGTCCTGGCAGGCACGTAAAGGGAGGGAGGGAGTGTGTGCTGTCTCCTCTGACGCAGGAGTAGGGGCTCCAGCTAAACTACCTGAAGGAAGTTTAACACAACAAAAAGGAAGTGGTTCTTGGTGCAACGTATAGTTAAACTGCAGAGCTTCTGGCCACAGGATGTGACAGATGTAAAGCATTTAAACAGCATGAATTCATGGAAGAAAAATCTGCTGCTTTATTAAACACAAAGAGCCAGCATCTCTTCCTGAAGGCTGCAGGACTGCTGGGCTCTGCACCTGGCAACTGTTGCTGCACCCTGACTGCTCCTCTGCCAGCACCTGGCCAGGGTGAGCTGTCATACGGCCTTGGATGTGTCCCACTGGGCAGTGTGGTGAGGCCGTGCACCCAGCAGCTTCCTGGGAACACCTGGAGTCCTCTCCTGCATGATGAGCATGGCTGCTCCAAGACACAGCCTCTGCAGGAAGGCTGCTCCACAGCGTGGGATGCAGGCCATCGTGAGGTCTGCTTTTACCAGAGCAGTTATAATAATCAGCTGGAATCCATTATTTTTCTTGAAGCACTTTTTGGAACACCTCATGGCAGGGAGCATCCCTCTGCTCTGTCTCCACTGCCTTTTCAGGACACATACAATGTGGCAAAAGCAAGTAATCTGCTGCTAACTGTGTGACGTCTTTGAGACAGGGTGGAGAGAAAGAGCATGGGAATTCATGGAAGTTACAGTATTTATTCAGCTTACAAAAATCATTTAAAAAATGTTCTTTCGCTAGGATTCAGTCCAGCCTCCATCTCCAGCCTGCATGTCTCCATGCTCCCACTTAATGCTCATGAGAGTTTGAGTCAGTTCACATGTGGCAGGAGCTTGGACGTGGCCACTGACTCCAGTGTTTTCTGCCTGCCTGCTGCCAGGTGGGTCTGATCTGAGTGCTGGCATACCAACTGAACTGAATTCATACTACTGAATTCAGCAAGGTAAATGAGTTTCAAGATTTCAGAGCAGAATCTCGAGTTCCCACGGTTGTAAGGAAGACCTCACAGTGAGGGCATGCAGAGCCAGTGTCGTGTGCCTGGAGCTCCTGCTTTTTCAGTGCTGCTCCTTTGAGCTGTGCTAAGCTGCTGCTCATTGGTGCTAAAATTAGCTGAAGGGCC